TTTTCTATGTAGGCAGATTGATGAACAAAAATCTCGTTTGCCAAATGTTCAATTTGCAAACCGAGACATAATTTTGTCTTTCCGAGATCTTTCATCTCAAATTCCTTCTTTAAATAATCAATTGCCTTTTGGAGTTCTATAGAAGTTCCAATAAGGTTTATGTCATCAACATATACGGCAAGTACAACAAACTTCGATATTATTTTCTTTATAAAAATACATGGACAAATGGTATCATTTATATAACATTTCTTTAATAAATATTTACTAAGGCGGTTATACCACATTCTTCCTAATTGCTTTAGACCATACAAAGATCTTTGCAATTTGATTGAAAATATTTCCCTGGACTTTGAATTATGTGCGTCAAGCATTTTAAAACCCTCAAAATTTTTCATGTATATCTCATTATCAAGTGAGTCGTAAAGGTAGGTTGTAACCACATCCATTAAATGCATGTCAAGCTTTTCATAGATAGCAAAACTAATGAGATAACAGAACGTTATAGCATCCATAACAGGAGAATACGTCTCTTCATAATCGACACCAGGCCTTTGTGAAAATCCTTGTGCAACAAGGCGTGCCTTATATCTTTGTACCTCATTTTTCTCATTCCTTTTACGTACAAAGACCCATTTATAGCCAACAGGCTTAACACCATTAGGTGTCTGGACTACAGACCCAAAAATTTCATGTTTCACAAGTGAATCCAACTCAAATTGGATTACTTCTTGCCATTTTGGCCAATCACGTCTTTGTCGACATTCTCCAACGGATTGAGGTTCAAGATCCTCATTATCTTGCATAATGTTAGATGCAACATTATATGCAAAGAAATAATCCATCACTATATTCAATCGATTCAAATTTGTCTCAATATCGATTGGATTTATTGATAGTTCCTTATTTTCTTGAGTCTCAGGCTCATCGATATCCTTATGAATCTCAGGATTGGTTAAATCATGGGTTTCTTTATGAGACTCTTTCATAGTGTCATCTTAATCATTTATTTTTCTTTTTTTAGGATTTCGATCCTTAGAACCCAATGGTCTGCCACGTTTTAGGCGTGCTTTTGACTCATTAGCTATGACACCAGAAGATTGTCCAACAGGGATATCAATACAGATTGAAACATTCTCTGCAGTGATATGTGATTTCGTTATCCTTTTCAGTTCCGTAAATGCATCTGGCATTTGAATTGCTTTTTTCTGTAAATGGATAATCTTTTGCACATCTTTTTCACAAATAGAGGCACGTGGATCAAGATGAGACAATGATGATTTTTTCACAAAATTTCTCGTTTGATTCCACCAATTTCTCCCCCTAATTTTGGGAAAAATTCTTCATCGAATTGGCAATCTGCAAATCGAGCAATGAACAAATCTCCCGTTAATGTTTCGAGGTAGTGAATAATGGATGGCGATTCAAACCCAATATATATTCCTAACCTTCTTTGGGGACCCATCTTGATACGATATGGCGGTGCTACAGGCACATATACAACGCATCCAAAAATTCTTAGATGGGATATATTAGGTTCATGACCCAAAACTAATTGTAACGGGGAATATTTATGATAATTTGCCGGTCTAAAACGAATTAGCATTGCTGCATGCAAAATGGCATGACCCCAAACTGAACTGGGTAACTTGATTTTCATGAATAATGGTCTTGCTATCAATTGCAGACGTTTAATCAACGATTCTGCAAGGTCATTTTGAGTGTGATCATGAGCTACAAATTGTTCCACTTTTATCCCAATTGATAAGCAATAATCATTAAATGCTTGGGATGAAAATTCAGTGGCATTATCAAGTCTAATAGACTTAATTGGATTATCGGAAAATTGTGCCCTTAATCGGATTATTTATGCCATTAATTTTGCAAATGCCAAGTTGCGAGATGACAATAGGCATACATGAGACCATCTAGAAGATGCATATATTAAGACCATAAAATATCTAAATGACCCACTAGGTAGGTGAATAGGTCCACAAATATCCTCTTGTGTACGTTCCAAAAATGTAGGGGACTCAATCCCAACCTTTGTTGGTGATGGTCTAATAATCAACTTGCCTTGATAACAAGAAGTGCAAGAAAATTCATTATTTAAAAGAATCTTTAAATTCTTTAATGGATGCCCATTTGAGTTCTCTATAATTCGTCTCATCATAATTGATCTGGGATGTCTCAATCGATCATGCCAAAGTACATAAGTATTGGAATTAGTAACCTTTTGGTTTAAGATAAAATATGCCTCAATTGCACTAACTCTTGTCCAATATAGGCGACAAGATAAAGATGAGAACTTCTCAATAACCCTTTTCTGGCCAGAGACATTCTTGGTAACGATGAGATATTCGAGATTATTCTCATCTATTGTCTCAATATGAAATCCATTTCGGCGGATATCTTTAAAACTCAACAAGTTCCTCTTGGACTTGGAGGAGAACATTGCATTCTCTATGATAAGTATTGTTCCCTTAGGCAGAGTTACAGTAGCTCTTCCAGAGCCTTTAATTAATTTTGTACTACCATATATTCATCAACATCTATATGGTGAATATCTCTTTTAAAGAGAAAGTTATACCATTATGGTCATGGTCAAAATTAGATGCAAGATCTGTTTCTTGCATTATTGTTGTCCTTTAATAATCACATTTCCAAAATATTTTGACGTGCAATAGGTACGTGACCAATGACCATTCATACCATAATAATGACATTATTTTCTTATTTCATCTCAAACCCCCTTCTCGAGGTGAGTGTGGTATATTTACTACCACTAGCACGTTCATATTCTTGCAAGAATGAATATGTATTCATAATGATTATCACATTGTTTTCACATTCACTTCAGGAATGGAATATAATAATTCATGCGTGCTTTATAAAATCTTATGTCATATCAATGACAAACATCACTTTCACAAAGTAAATGATTATTTTGAGAGCCATTATTGTTCTCATTAAAATAATGATGACGATTATAATTTTGTCCATTACCACGTCCACATCCATTCATACCTTCACGGTAATATCATGTCTTATTTTAGACTTATGGGACGGGTTTTCACTATTGGTGGCGATTGAAATTAATTTGCATATGCGAACTTTCATTAACTGAACTCAATCAAATAAAAAGTATCAAGCAAATATAGAAAAATACATAATCAATTAAAATCTATGTGTCCTTTGTGATAATTATCCCACTTTAAGATGGAAGAGATATGTGATAAAATAGAAAGAAAAAATATGTGCTTTCTCAAAAGTCTTCACTTCGTGTTTCTTAATATTAACACATAGGAACATAATACTTGTTATAGAAAAAATATTTATCGTTCTTTACACAAAAAATCATTACATGATTTGATGAACTTTCAAGAATTTTTTTTCCGTAAAGCAAGTTTGTTTATGTATGGAAACATAAATAGCAAAGTGTAAAGAAACTTGAAAGCTAATTAGAAAAGGCTAACCGTGATGGCCGAATATATGCTGGCGTTGTACACCTTATACCTTCATCGTTCTTACCATATTATTAACATTAAATGACGCTACCGGCACTGACCGCATCATAACAACTCAGTTGGCTAGAACTTCGTGCTGATATCGTGTTATAAAATATAACTCAAAGTAACAATATAGAACAAGAAAAAACAAGCTAAGAGATATATAGAGAAAGAGAGAAGAAATTCTTATTTCTTCTTCAATTGTTTGTATTTTTCTATCTATTACAAGGCATTTATATATGCAAGAAAAGTGAAGAAAATATGTCATTGAATATATAATTAAACATAGAAAATATGTCATTGAATATGTCATTAAGCATTTGAGATGAAGATCATAAAGGAAGAGTAGACATCCACCATAATTTGATATTTCTTATAACTGGAATAACTTTATTCGAGTGAACTTACTCACATTACCCTAGATAAAGGAGGAGAATTGCCGCGGCTAGCATTAAATTTTTTAATTGTGATGAAAATGTTAACTCATTTAGATTTTATTTGAAAGGAGCAATATATAGGTAAATTAGTTCTTATCCAAAGAGTCTATTAAAATAACTCAAGTTTAAGATCAACGGGAGAGGATTATTATCGTTCAAAATCTAATCTATGTACCTTCCTTTCCATTATCTTACGGTTGTTACTCATTTTCGGTTAAATAATTATAGTATTATTCTCCTCTATTTTTATTCTTATATTTTTATTATTACATATTATTTCTTTTGCTTGGATTTTCTTAATACTTTACTGTTGTTATTTTTTTTTATTTTCATGATTTTTTTACTACTGTATTTCTTTTTCATTACTGTTGAGCTTATGCTTTCCTTGAAGGTCTATCGTAAATAATTTTTCTAGTGCACAAGGTAAAAATAAAATTTGCGTATATAATATCCTTTACATACTTCACCTACGAAATTACACTGAGTGGACGTTTGGACATAAGAATTGTAAAATATCAAAATAGGGTGAAATTATTTTTCAAGTGAAAATAGTATTTGAAATTTACAGTTATGTTTGGACACGAATATAATTTTTGGTTGTTTTTAAAGTTTTGTGAGTGATTTGAGTGAAAATTTTGAAAATCAGTTTTTTGAAATTTTTAAAATTTTGTAAAAATTTTAAAATATATTTTTAAGTGAAAATTAAAAATTTTATGAATAAATACTGATATAAAAAAAAGAAATATTTTTTGGGGAAAAAACAAAAAATTTCTTTTATGTCCAAACGGCCTCTGAGTTTATTATTGTTGAACTCTATGTAACTGATCTTCTGCCTTATCCTCTGCATCTGCATAAGCAGTCAGCCAAAACGGCTCCCATTATTGTCATTTTGCTCTACCGGTCGCTGTCTCCCATATTCAACCTCCACTCTCGGGTTAACTCTTTACCATGGTTACTCTAATCAGACTTTACAGTTCATTTTCCCAACTAAACCTTAAACCTTCCTCTTATTTACAGTTTATCCATCCTCTTCTCCAAGCTATAAATTAACGCTTTGAGACTCGCTAAGTTTGCCCAACTGAAAAGCCTCGGGGCACTTTTAGAAAAGAAAAAAAATCAATACATACAGAATATGTTTATATAGCTCTCCAATTACAATGGCGAATTCCTCTAGAAGGCTGAGATCGGCGTTTGAGAGGTCAATCTCACCCACCGGCCGGTGCTGTAACACCATGGCGGCAACTGATGCGACGTCGTTCGCTTCGTACAGGACCTCTAGCTTTTATTCGTCTCCATCGGCAGGTTGTTTCAACCGTTCGGCTTCTCCGACGCGCGTGAATCTCCACGCGCTGGCGCCGGTGAATTCTACGCCTAGCGTTAAGTTCTTCATCGACAGATCTAGCTCTCCTCGCCGTTCCGTGGCAGTGTCTCAGCGTGATCAGGTGGTTCGGAAGCAGATTCCGAAAAGGACGTGCTTGTGCTCTCCGACGACGCATCCTGGTTCGTTCAGGTGTAGTATGCATAAGAATATGAGAAATACTCCTTCGATTTCGTATTCGCCTAGTCGATTGAATGCTCGGCGATCGGCGATGACGAACTCACTGGTGCGGATCTGGTCTGTTGAAGGTGATTTAGTAAAGCGAGCTCTGGCAGCTCTTATTAGGCCTTCTTCGCATCATCAGAGACGTCGAGGTGACTTTCAACCGCGTCCTAGCCGGCTTTCCAGAATGTCCAAAGTATAACCTATGAAAAAGTTTCCGTTTCCGTTTCCGTTGTTACAGGTTGGTGAATTTCATATATTATCTGAAGCTCATCTCCTGAGTTTTCCGGCGATGGCGTCAGATTCCGGCTGCTGTTTTTACTACTCCGACGAAAAGGAAGCTATGGCAATTTTGATACATTACGGAAGTAGTATAATTCTCCCTTGTACATATGGATTTGCAGTAACTGATGCAATTGAAGGACAATTTGGACTTAAATTCCATAAAAATAACCAGGAAATTGAATTTGATTAAATTTGAACTAAAACATCATAAGGCATTGGATATGGTTGAGAAATCTGTGTTTGGCGTTTTAGGTGTTTAGTGGAGTGGTGTGACTTGTTTCGTTTTTTGTGTTCGTTCGCAGCTTTTGTGTTTCCCGTCGTGTTTGGCGTTCATCGTTCCATTATGCTTTGGCGTTTCCCGTTCGTTCGCCGTATCTGCGATCGACGTGCTTTAGCATCTGTTCATCATCTTTCGTCCAAGGTAATATGTATTTTTTAATTTTTTTTCTTCGTATATTTTCCATTATCTTTTTATTTTTAAGAACTTTTATTTATTTGCTAGTTGAATTTGTTAATGTTTTTTCTTTGGTATCTGTGTTTCAGGTTTGGGTTTCATATTCAGGTTTGGTATTTTACCTTGACTCGGAATCCATGGATGGGAGATGGAAGATGGATGTTAAATTCAAGTGATAATGAAATAAACTCCGGAAGAATCTTTTGATAAAAATGAAAATAATAGTAAAGGCTAAAGCGGTAAAATATAATGACACAAGTGAGAAGGATGAAGTGTAAGGAGTACCAAAAATCATCAAAAATATTTTTTTTTTCTACGCCAAATAGTCTAATAGACGAATCCTTATTTTAGGTGAGTTAGAGAAGTTGTTCACTATCATATGTGAGTTAGAGATACATCCAGAAAAAGAAGAAAAAAACTAAGATAAAATTGCGAAAAAAGAACTAAAACAGAAAAATCTAAGGGAAATTAATTAAGGGAATACCGATATTAATAAAAGCAACAAAATGGGAGACAGACTGGACGTTGGTGTCTATGGCCTATTTTTCTGAGAATTTTTTTTTTGAGTGAGACTCAACCAAAAAAACTTTTACGAGGCTCTACTTATCAGACAAATGGAAAAGTGGGTCCTGCATGGCAGGCGTTTATCTCTGGCACTAACGTATTCCCATTTCTCCATCCCCGTTCTCGATCCCCTCTCTCATCTTTTTACCAAGTTTACTAATGGCAAAATGAAAAAACAGTTAACTTTAGTTCTCTTCTCATCAGTCGTCACTTTGGAGTTTCTTCCCCTCTATCTTCTAAATAATTTTCTAAAAGGAACTGAACAGGTGGATATTTAGGGATATTTAGGATCGTTTGTTCGTGAATCATGTATGCTTCTCCAAATTCAAGAGTCCAAAAAGAAGAATGACTTAAAATTTCTGTTTTCCTGATTTTTCGAAGAGAAAAATGATGGGCATAATATTTTGGCGGGAGAATCACTGATTTTTTGAGATATCTATGCATTCCTGTTCGTGACACATGCTAAGTTTGAATAGTTGTTGAATAGTATTTGATGGTTGGATTCTATGAGACTGCGTTGGAGAAGAAGGAGATGAACGAAAATTAAAGAGATAGATTCTCAAATTTATTGTGAAAATTTTTATTTGGGTGAAGTTTGGTTTGAAGATGAAAATATGTTTGGACATCAGTTTTCAAAATATATTTTTCAAATTAATTTTGAAAAAATATGAAACATGACTAATACCCATAATTTCTAAAAATTATCACAAATACCCAACAGTACCATTATCAATAGCATTCATTATATTATCGCAAACTATAGTCCCGAACATAAATAAATTTAATACAAAATTATTATTTTTATAATGAAGTACATGATACATTATCATGTGACCGAGAAGACGAAGCAACATTGTTATAAAATAATAAACGGTGAGCTCTTTTATAAAATACAAAAATTTGGGACAATTTTTAAAAAATATAATAGTGATATTTTGGCCCAATACCAACTATGGTTTTGAGATTTGGGATTTTAGCAAAATTTATTGACAAACGGTTCCTTAGAAAAAGGAGAAAGAAAGAAAAAGGAGGAGGATTGAATACCATTGATGAGAGAAACATGAGCATAAGTAGGTAATCTAGGATCCACTCTTGAGAAAAACCGGGTAAAAAGATGAGAAATGGGAAACACGTAGTGTCAAGAGAAATAAAAGGAGGGAGCCTGCCATGTGGGACCTAACTTTACACTCCTTCTAAGTAGTCACTTTGTTGAAGGGACGAGAAAGTACGGTAAAATTATTTTTGTATAACTTATAAATTATAATTTCGAGTTATAAAATTAGGTATTAATATTTATATTAAAATATATTTTTTAAAGTAGTACTTTTTTCTGAACTATACATAAATGCGAAATGGCTATGTACGACTTCTCTATAATCACTATTACCAAGATGGCTGGAGGCTCGTTGGCATGTTGAAGGAAGATAGGAAAGGAGGAGTGAGCAGTCATGAAAGTTTGAAACAGACAATAGCTAATGCTTAAATGACAAAATAGGTCCTGAAAAGTTCCAACTTCGTGATCCTTTTTTCTTCGTATTCTTTCAAAATCCTTTTCATGGAAAAACAAAAACCCTGAAAAATACTCCATATACCAAACACTTGTGATACAAAAGTCATAATGGACTAGGGAATTACGACCGGTATTTTAAAAGGCATTTCTGGGATTTGCTCAGGGCTCGTCCCTGGGTGGGGCACTTACAAAATGTCTCGGGGCTCATGTATGAGGCTTAGTTCTTTGAGGCTTATGCTCCAAGCGCTCGACTGTGCGCCCTAAATACGCCTAACGCCCAACGCTCAGGGCTCGCCTAACAGTTCTAACGCAAATCACGTGTCGAATTTCCTAATTAATATCGTTGACCTTCAAAATTCTTTAACAAATTAATGATAAAAGTTCTATTCATCGATAGAAATATAAAGATTGAGCATAACTCTAATAATGAGACATAATATTGCGAATTTATATCGTCACTTGTTATTGGTCGTGTCTTAGTTCATTTGTCCCTTTTTGTTATACACTTTTATTAATTTGATATCTTAAACTAATTTGTATTTCTTCATGAAGGAGTAATATTTTAATTATTGTACTAATAAGATTTTATTAATTATTTACTTTTAGGAAGGTAAAA